ACAGCGCTCGGTGTTTTTTCCCTTCTCATTCTCCAAGTTCACTTTAAAGAGTGGTTTTTAAACCAAAAGGAAAACCCCCCCACGATTTCTGTGATTTACTGTGCAACTGGACATGCTAGGAGACACGATGTTTTCCCCTGCACACTCGGTGCCTGGGCTTTTCTGAACACGCCGCCGGCAGGTCCTCGCGCAGAGCGGAAAGGAGCACCCCGCTCAGAGGGTTGCTCGTTTTTGTCTTGACTATCGATTGTAACACGCAGCCCGACAGGAAAGGCTCCACAGTGGAGGCGAGCGCTGGTATTTATTACGGCGCTGGTGTTCATTATGGCGGCCTCTGACAGGGGGCCATTACAATCAATTTTTATGTTGCTTATGTATTTTCTTTATCTAATGTTCTTGGCATTGTGTTTATTAGCCGGTTAACAAACACTGGGCTTGGAAGTGGCTGTGTTTTTTTTTTCTCTTGTCAGAAATAACGAGAACTGCAATCTTAACCCAGCTCCTCAAAATCAATGACTGGAGGAAATCAAATGTTACATTTCAGAACAAAATGCTGAGGAGGGCTTTCAGTGTTTATGCTTTGCAATCAGAGAAACAGTGGGGATCGTTCACGAAAGTGAGAGAAACGCGTCCTGCTGGAGAAGGCGACACCCTGATGTCATGCTCAGAAGGGGATTTCATGTCCTTCCTCCCCAGCTGGTCGGCCTGCACCTGGGGTGCCAAGGAGCTCCTGACAGCCATTCTGGGGCATTAGTATGAGGCTCACCTGGCCCACTGAACAGAGAACATGGGGCCTAATTTAAAAATCAAGATTAAGCCCTGGCTGGTGTTGTTCAGTGGTTAGAGCACCGGCCTGAGCACCAAAGGGTCACAGGTTCGAGTCCCAGTCAAGGGCACGTACTAGGTTGCAGGGTCAATCCCCGGTCCCATTTGGGGCATGTTCGGGAGGCAACCAATCAATGTATCTCATATCTACGTTTCTCCCTCTCCCCCGTTCTTCCCACTCTATCTGAAATCAATGGAAAAATATCCTCAGGTGAGGATTATCCAAAAATAAAAACCAAGATTAAGCGGGCACCTGCGTCACCCAAGTTCAGAGAAAGCCCCACATCACATGTTGAAGAATCAGCATTCTGTAGTCAACACCAAGCAACTCCTCTGTAAACGTACCCTCATTAAACACCTGGGGGCTCCTGAGTCAAGGGCACGGCCCTGTGCTTCTCAGAGGGGCGGCTTCTCGGGCAACGAACCCAGGTGCCCGACAATGAAGGACGCACACTTGGGCTAATTTCTACAATTGCACGTGGCCCCGCGCAACACATGCTCAGTGGACACCAAGCAGGAACCACGTGAGCTCCTTCTGGTGCTCCGAGCCCCCCCCCCCCCCNCAATTTCTGTGATTTACTGTGCAACTGAACATGCTAAGAGACACGATGTTTTCCCCTGCACACTCGGTGCCTGGGCTTTTCTGAACACGCCGCCGGCAGGTCCTCGCGCAGAGCGGAAAGGAGCGGACCGCGTCGGAGCACCCCGCTCAGAGGGTTGCTCGTTTTTGTCTTGACTATCGATTGTAACACGCAGCCCGACAGGAAAGGCTCCACAGTGGAGGCGAGCGCTGGTATTTATTACGGCGCTGGTGTTCATTATGGCGGCCTCTGACAGGGGGCCATTACAATCAATTTTTATGTTGCTTATGTATTTTCTTTATCTAATGTTCTTGGCATTGTGTTTATTAGCCGGTTAACAAACACTGGGCTTGGAAGTGGCTGTGTTTTTTTTTTCTCTTGTCAGAAATAACGAGAACTGCAATCTTGACCCAGCTCCTCAAAATCAATGACTGGAGGAAATCAAATGTTACATTTCANTTTTTTTTTTTTTTCCTCTTGTCAGAAATAACGAGAACTGCAATCTTAACCCAGCTCCTCAAAATCAATGACTGGAGGAAATCAAATGTTACATTTCAGAACAAAATGCTGAGGAGGGCTTTCAGTGTTTATGCTTTGCAATCAGAGAAACAGTGGGGATCGTTCACGAAAGTGAGAGAAACGCGTCCTGCTGGAGAAGGCGACACCCTGATGTCATGCTCAGAAGGGGATTTCATGTCCTTCCTCCCCAGCTGGTCGGCCTGCACCTGGGGTGCCAAGGAGCTCCTGACAGCCATTCTGGGGCATTAGTATGAGGCTCACCTGGCCCACTGAACAGAGAACATGGGGCCTAATTTAAAAATCAAGATTAAGCCCTGGCTGGTGTTGTTCAGTGGTTAGAGCACCGGCCTGAGCACCAAAGGGTCACAGGTTCGAGTCCCAGTCAAGGGCACGTACTAGGTTGCAGGGTCAATCCCCGGTCCCATTTGGGGCATGTTCGGGAGGCAACCAATCAATGTATCTCATATCTACGTTTCTCCCTCTCCCCCGTTCTTCCCACTCTATCTGAAATCAATGGAAAAATATCCTCAGGTGAGGATTATCCAAAAATAAAAACCAAGATTAAGCGGGCACCTGCGTCACCCAAGTTCAGAGAAAGCCCCACATCACATGTTGAAGAATCAGCATTCTGTAGTCAACACCAAGCAACTCCTCTGTAAACGTACCCTCATTAAACACCTGGGGGCTCCTGAGTCAAGGGCACGGCCCTGTGCTTCTCAGAGGGGCGGCTTCTCGGGCAACGAACCCAGGTGCCCGACAATGAAGGACGCACACTTGGGCTAATTTCTACAATTGCACGTGGCCCCGCGCAACACATGCTCAGTNTCAGCGTCCGGCGTCTTCCTGCCGAGCAGCCTGATCCCGTGCAGACCCTGCTTGCAGCCGGAGAGCTCGAGCTGCCCCACGGGGCTGGCCACCGTTTTGTACTTCACATCACAGGGCTCGTCCATGCTCCCTCGCACCTGAAGGGACGATTTTTGAAGCAGCACATGAGACAGTGTGTGGGAAAGAGTCGGCTCCCTCTTAAATCACAACAGAAACCCCAGTTGTTTAAGACATGAAACCTTTTCTATAGTTTCTCCCCATTTTTGGAGTTTGCTCACATAATGTGTCATTTTTACAATATAGTTACTTTGAGGACAGACATGACCATCATTGCCTCGAGCAGCAACTGGCGGCACGCTTGCCTTTTATCCCCAAGTCACTGCCCCCTCTTCTCGCTGCTCATAACTCACCGCAGGCCGAGATGAGACCTTCTGAACGGCACCTAAAAGCTACCCTTCTTTTAACAAAACAACTAAACAATAACCGAGGTTCTCATTAATGAAAACTGAAGACAAAGCGTGATATTTGGAATAAAGCATATTTAAAAATGAAGTATTAAAAAATGAACTACAGGAATGGAGTGAGCCCAGCACCTGCACCACACCTGGGTGAGGAGATGGTCAGGAGACATGAACAGCTGGAATAAAACTTGTAGGCTTTGGAAAGCTTCACATCTTACTTCCATTCAAACAAAAGTACAAATGCATAAAAACGATGCTATGACAGAGCCTCCCAGCTAGTTTTCATAGCTATTCACTTCGGTCAACGTGGCAAAGGCTCAAAAGGAAGCATGGACTCACTAAAAACAGAGAGGAGCCAGTAAGGGTTCAGGCAAGTTGTTATTTTATAAAAACCACCCTCACTCCGGGGAGGCAAGAAGTCGGTCACTCGAGGAAAGGTTCAGGGTGACTACCTGGACTGCTCCCGCTCCCCTCGCCAGCTCTGTAGCCGGCCCAGCACCACTGTCCCTCCTTAAGAGCCCACGTCCCTCCTTAAGAGCCCACGTGCGGGATGTTTCCCAGAGCTCCACCTCCGACCCAATCAGGCAGGATGAACTGACACAGCGGGCCACCTGCCCATCAGGGCCCCGTGAGCTCCTGCCAGAGCTCAATGCTCCCTCCCCATCTCCACTTCTTTGTCTTGGGGCACCCTGAATGGCCTTGCGTGAAACTGTCGCCTGCGTTAATTCCCTCCCTTATGGAGCTTTTCGGTGAAGGCACTCCCATCCACCCTGCCCCCACCTAAAGCAGGGTTTACCCAGGACTCCTCCTTCCCTGCCTCCCCCCCCCCCACACCTGGTGTCAGTAAGCCTGGGACCTCACCATTTCAGCTGGCTCTCATGTCCACGCTGCCCTCCACGAGGCCCCTCAATAACTCACCTACCCGAGGAAGGACTTCTCAGGGCTCTCATCACACCTGGGCTCTTCCCAGCCCCCAGCCCCACCCAGTAACAAGTCAACTGCTAATTACAGGAGGGGCCACAGCCTTCAGCAAGCTGCAGCCCAGGGGACACCTCCTCTTACTGCCTGGTTCTGTAAAGCTGTTGGGGCCACCACACACTTGTCTGCACACGTTTCCATGGCAGAGATGACTGCCTGTGACAGGGACAGCATGGCCCCAAAACACTGACCACATGGCTGTCCACAGAAAAGGTCTGTCGAGTCCTTCAAGGTCCAGGCAGGACACCCTTCCCACCTCGTCCCCCCAGTTCAGTGGCCCCACATTCTCAGGAACCCTTCATATGCAGCATGGCTTCGATCTCTCGGCCTTGACACCCCTGTCCTCTCAGTTGGACTGTCCTCTACCTGCCCATCCAGCCTGCACCACAAGGCCTGACATCTGCTTAATTGTGAAACCTCAACAAACCCCACCAGCGCCAGCCCACAGGTGTCCCTCCTCTGTGCCTCCCACCTGCTCCTAATATCACATACTGATGGGCAACAGCTAAGGCAGAAAGATACATCCACACCCATGAAGAGGTCCAGGGGCACTCCCCAAACCTCACCGTGTGTGAGCAGTACCCTGAGGTTCCACCCCAAGCACCCAGGCTCCAGAGCCGCCCTGTCCAACTCCCTCTTTCTATGCAAACTGACAGGGGCCTGAACCTGGTTCCTCTCCAGGTTCCAATGGGTCCCACGGGGTTTTGCTGGGAAAACTTCTCAGATGTTCCCCTGACGGCAGAGATACTGACACATCACACTCCCTGAACGTCCCACCTTCTAGGGCACCTCGGCCTATGGGAGAGAAACCAAGCTTCCAGAGTGTCCTCTCACCCCCTCCACTTCACCTGTGGGGTCACAGGTCCCACACATGGCCTGTCACTTTGCCTGTCTGAGCCACTGTGCTTTGCCCTGCAGGACAAAGGACACCTGATTCACAGGGTCAGCGCAGGACCAGCCCAAAAGTGTGAAGACCTGGCAGCCAGGAAGGACTTGGGGTTAGTTATCCCAGCCACAGTGGACACTTAACTGAATGACAGTGGCCTTTAACCTTGTCACCCAGGGTGCTCTACCCTCCTCTGCAAAATCTTATCCAGGAGCATAAAAATCTGATCACTCTCCAAAAGCAGATGGCCACCCCTTCTTCCAGCCCCCCTGAGGTTCTCCCCTCATTTCTTGGGGCCAGGATCAACAGCTGTCCTCTCCCCACACATCTGGGGACATTTCCCAGCCCCCTGACCTACTGGCAGGTGCTGAGGCAGGGCGTTTGCTACAAGTTGGGGTCCCACTGAGGGCAGACGCATCGCACACGTGAACTGGACAGTCAGTGTGTNTGTGCTTTGCCCTACAGGACAAAGGACACCTGATTCACAGGGTCAGCGCAGGACCAGCCCGAAAGTGTGAAGACCTGGCAGCCAGGAAGGACTTGGGGTTAGTTATCCCAGCCACAGTGGACACTTAACTGAATGACAGTGGCCTTTAACCTTGTCACCCAGGGTGCTCTACCCTCCTCTGCAAAATCTTATCCAGGAGCATAAAAATCTGATCACTCTCCAAAAGCAGATGGCCACCCCTTCTTCCAGCCCCCCTGAGGTTCTCCCCTCATTTCTTGGGGCCAGGATCAACAGCTGTCCTCTCCCCACACATCTGGGGACATTTCCCAGCCCCCTGACCTACTGGCAGGTGCTGAGGCAGGGCGTTTGCTACAAGTTGGGGTCCCACTGAGGGCAGACGCATCGCACACGTGAACTGGACAGTCAGTGTGTCCGCCACCCAGGCCAAGAGTCCAGCACCCCATTTTCCAAAATGTGCTCCCAAAAGAATGCTCAGAGGAAGGGTTCCAAGGCCCAGAGAGCAGCCTGGACAGGCCACCCTCCCGGGAACACTCAGCGCGCCTGCTGGCATGTTAAAGCTCCGAGCAGTCTCCCAGCAAAACCAGCTTATGTTTGTTTACATAGCTTCACAGACGGGTTCCCCACAACCCGTGCCTCCCACCAGGTCTCTGCTAGGCAGCGCTGGCCCCCAACAGGCCTGAGGCTGTTTCTCAGCAGATCCGAGCTCAGGAGACTTGGCTCGGGCGCCAGATCTGGAGCATGACAGGCCACAAGCCCGGCTTCCAGGCAGGGCTCCCAATGGCAGGTATCAGAAGCTGAGACCGGCTAATTTAAGCACAGAAGCAATTTACTAACAGGCTGCTCTGTAACTCCCAGAACTTCTGGGAAGGCTGGAGAAGCGGGCTCAGAAAACTGTAGGAACTGAGGCTGGCCGTGGTCCAACCGCAGCCAAAATCGAGCCTCAGGAAACATCTGTGGGTACAGCCAGGGACTGCAGGCATGCAGCTGCTGCTGTTGCCACCGTTGCCCCTGGAAACAGGATGTTGCAGCCACCGTCAATTCCCTGCTGCCCGGCCTCCCTGTCACTTGCATCTGACTCAAGGCCCACGCAGGAGCCCAGAGCTGGCTCGGGGACCCAAGCCAGTGCTCGCCTGTGCCGAGTGGCAGGGGAGAGGGATGGCTGCCAGGAGAGGAGGGCTCTGCCCACATCAGCCCCTGAAGGACAGGAAGCCAGTGCTGCTGCAGAAATTCGGGCTGGCACACGCCCCGGCCAGGAGAGAGTGAGCGCTCCATGTCCTCTCCCCTTTCCAGGCCTCAATTTTCTCATCAATAAAGTAGGAACAATAACACTGACTGCCAACCCCCAGGGGCTGTTCTGTGGGCCCCACAGGAGAACACGGAGAAGGCCATGGATGGGCGGGGTGGGCAGGCGGTCCTGCAGAACAAGGACCCTCATCCTCCACGTACTCCACGAGTGGCCCAGGAGGCAGATCCGAGAGTGCCGAGGAGGGGCCGGGGGCAGGTCAGGGCGCGAGGGCCCACCTGTCCCGGTGGCCAGGAGGGACTGGCTGAACTTTGGAGACTGGCGGCCTGGATGCAGTGGGGAAGGGCTGCCAGCCACCGGCTGTGGCCCGAGCTGGCATGGTGGTCTCCAAACCAAACAGCACCCAGCACGCCAGCACCTGCATTCCTGAGCTGGACCACGGGACTCAGATGCTCGGCCTGCCCACCGCTGCCCCTGCCCTGCTGCCCATGACCAGCACCACACGCCCAGAATGCAGCGCTGTCCCTGATCTGCCGGGTCTGTGCTCACGCCAGAATCAGGCCGCTCTTATCGCGTTAAGAACCAGCTCTGTGGACCTGCACAGCCACCAAAGCGACAGGCCACCCCAAGTCAACCACAGAGCAAGGGAGGTTCCATCCACATCATGCCAAGAACCAGAAACGGGCCATCAGTCCAAAACTGCAATAACCCGCAGGTCCCAAATCTGGGCCCGAACGAGCAGCATATGTCACATGTCACGTCCAGTCGGGGTGATTTAGTTAGGCAACATCGGAGGGAGTGGCTCCTTAGACTTCCTGATGGATTAAGCAGAATTAAAATCAAACCCACTTCGGTTTCCCCAATGTGAGGATTCACTGGGGGCCCCTCCCCCAGGACTGCGGCCTGGGACCCAGGGCCGGGCTCCTCCTGGACTGGCTGGGCCGGGCTGGACTGTCACCAGTGCCTCTGGGTTTCTGAGCCCATGAGCAGCAGCATTGCTAGTCACAGATAATGCACCATAACCACGACGGCCACTCTGCCAAACAAAGAAGTGCAGCATTTGTGACATAATTTTCTATCAGCGCTGCCAGCAATGGACT